GGTTCGCACGGAGCCAAAAAAAGTAAATTATATTTGATTGATTGGATATCCTTTTACAATAGCCGGGGTCCAATATTTATACCCAGAATCTAAGCATGAATCCAACTTATGCACGACTCATTACAATCTTTGACATAAGAGAAAACATTCCTAATTTAAGACAACTTGGACCCTAATCTTTCCCTTTTGTAGAGTCTGACATGTTTCTCCCGACGCCAACTGTAGCTGCTGGCGTTATCCAAAGAGAGCCGATTCTAGTACTGTATTTGAATTAGCTGATATCGACCTTTATGCAATCGATTCCATGATCTTTGGGAGCTTCGAGTTCTCGCATTCTTCTTCCCAAATTTTGGTGTAAATACATGCCCCCCAATTTTGGAATAAAAGTAATTTTATTCCAAAATTATCATGCCTGTACCTCCGATAGGTCCGTAGTCATGGGTAGAGAATCTTGATCTAAGGTCCACTATCTGTCACCGTCTTTGCTAGCTTATGAGCCCATGCTTCAAAGCTTGACGAAAGCATCATTGCTTCACGGGCACTTGGATCCATCTTTCTAGGCCGACTATAAATGTCTATTCGACTCTAGCGAGATCAACTCAACAACTTCAGTTATGTTTCTCTTCTGTTTGCTTCCTCGAGTGCCCCTGGCTCCGCCACACTCTCCATGGTCTAATTCTTTGCTATGAGGATCTTGAGTGGTTAGAAGAGTTCTTGTGCATAGGGTGATTGTGTCGCTCATTTTAGCGCCTCGTCGAGCAAGAGGATCAGCTACTGTGGTTAGAAGAATTCTTGTGACATCACCTGAGTTTTCTCACCATGATCACAGAGCTGTTCTAGAGTTTGCAAGGGCTAAAATGTGTGGACACCTTCCCCTTGTTTGCTTCATCAAAGCATGTCGGGAAAACCACAGACTTCTTTCCCATGGTTTCCCATCCATCGATAAATGGGCATCTCTTAGTAGGCGGCTTTCTTTTCCATTATTTCCCAGTCACCAAGAAATCGGTGGGGTATATGGGCATCTTTTAAGCAGGCGGCCTTTCCTCATCCCCTAATGCAATTTTATCAGTGGGCCGATATGACTTGGTCCATGATGACCTTCGGCCTTGTGGGGATCCAAACTCCCTTCAATCCAAAGAAGTCTTGGTGGGTTGATCGCCAGTTAATGTAAACCTTTTGTATTAATCCCATGATATTTTGTAATTATGGGAAGCAATAAGTCCGAATCTATTGTCTCTTCGTGATCCGTCCCCTGAATTTCTAGAGTGGCGACCCATTTTCATATCTGATTTTAATTCCATAACCCCGGCGAAGCCTATCTTCTCACCTCACAGGCTATATATACGGGCCACGGCTGTGGATCGAAAAACAACCTTCTTCGTCCCAAATCTTTGGTGTGATTATGCTTTCCCATAGGTTTGAAGGCATGGGGAACGACAGGAGGTCTACTGAGGAGGCCTTCAACGGGAATGTGTCACCATGCCGATGTCTTCGTCATCAGGAGGGTGCAACCCGGGATGCTCCCATCGTCCTAGAGCATAGGGCCGACTCCGCTCAACTTCCAAGGTCGTCTTCATCAACAACTCGCCGCCAGCTCCCCTGCTACCCGAGGAAGCAGATAGACAACGACGATCTGATCGCTTCCATCGATCGGGCTGGCCAGAAGCTCGCCAACTGCCTCTCCATCGCGGAATCGGCTCTAGCCATGGCTCAGCGCCGATCACCCTCCGAGGCTGACCACACAAAGGAGAGGTTGGCCAAGGCTAAGGCCAGAATCATTGGTGAGATGCCTACCACAATTTTTTGTCTGTTCTTAATTTTTGTCTTCAAGATCTTGATCATCCTTCCCTTGAATCTTTTTAGATCTATCAGCTCAGCTAGAAAGCCTCCGATTAGCTGCAGAGTACACGGCAGGATTTGTCAACACCAGGGGCGCCGTTCCGGTGGTTTGCTTGCACGACATCCTGAACCGTGTCAGAGAGGTTGCTCTTCATGGCGTTCGCCATGGTGCTACCATGGCACTGGCTGCTGTGCAAGCTCGCTCTAGCCATGAGCTTTGACTTCTTCCCCATGGTTTTCCAGCCACCGAACACCTTAGGGATTATGAGTGCCTTGTCGAGGATTTCTTCGACGCTGCTAACTCCATAGCCCTTGCTACCCAGGCCGAGGACATAGTCAATAAAGTGTTCCCCGACCTTTAGCTTGTAATAGGAGAAGCTAGCAAACAATTTCTTTGTTTTAATTGGCTTCTTGTGCTCATATTCCATGTATCAATTTGTGTATGTTCTTGCTCTACAAGCAGTACATATCATATCGGCTTTTACCCCTTCAGGTTTATTTTTGAACTAGAGGTGATACCCTTCTGGTATCGGCTATTAGAGTCGATGACCGAACAAATCGGTTGTTAAGTACTAATCTAAACACTAGGATAATATTTCTTTAGATACTTCCCATTGATTGCTCTGTCAAACTCTTCTTCTCCTAGTGTTTCCAAAATATAAGCATTGCCAGGCGCACAACATTTAATCCAATAAGGTCCTTCCCAATTAGGTGACCATTTGCTGAACTTGCTGTCTTTTGACCCGATCGGCAATTTCACTTTCCAAACTAAGTCTCCTTCAGAAAATTGTTTGCTCTTGAACTTTTTATTGTAATACTTTATGATCCCCAGTTTATTGGCTTCGATATTCTCAAGAGCACGTAGCTGATGGAAACTCAAGTCCTCTAAGTCGTCTATCATAAGATTCTTGTAGACTCCGACTGACAAATCATTTTGCAATGTGACATGCCTTGATCTAGTTTGAATCTCCCAAGGAAGGACTGCATTATGACCGTACACAAGTTCATAAGGTGATGTTTTAATCGATCCATGATAGGCCATCCTATATGCCCATAGTGCCTCATTAAGCGTTGAATGCCACTTCATTGGCTGCTCCTCAATCTTTTTTCTTGATCAGCCTAATCATAATCTGATTGGACGCCTCTGCCTGGCCATTAGCCTGAGCATAGTAAGGAGAAGAATTTAGCAACTGAGTTCCCATACTGGAAGCAAAATCTCCAAACTCTTCTGATGTGAATATTGTCCCTTGATCGGTAGTGATAGTTTGAGGAATCCCAAAATGATACACAATGTGCTCCTTGACAAAATCAACCTTGTTCTTTGAGGTTACCGTCTTCAAAGAAATTGCCTCAACCCAGTTAGTGAAGTAATCCGTTGCTACCAATATGAACTTATGTCCTTTACTTGAAGGCGGAAAAATCTGGCCAATTAGATCAATTCCCCAACCTCGAAACGGCCATGATTTGATTATTGGATTCATAGCCGATGCGGGTGATTTTTGAACATTGCCAAATCATTGATAGTCCTGGCACCCCTTATAATATTCAAAACAGTATTCCAGTATTGTTGGCCAAAAATATTCGGTCCTTAGCTTCCTGGTAACCTTCTGTGATGATTTCCTAAGGTAATCGGCTATTTCAACTCTCCAATCATTATTCAAGGTCTCGCTACTTAAGATCTCTTGAAACACTCGATAACCTGACGCACTCTAAGCTAAATGATTAGCCTCTTGATTCTGTGCTCTCGAGATATGTTGAAGAGAGACATGTGGAAATTCCTTGAGCAACCTTTGGCACTCATCATAATATCCCCTCAGAGTATCTTCTTTGCACTCAGATAGGCCGATCAACTGATAATTAACTATGAATCTCCAAATACTTCAATTGCCTCGGCCTTTAGTTCATTAAGAAGTTGAAGCCCCTTAAGAATAGCTTCATATTCTGCTTGGTTGTTGGTAATCATTGGCTCAGTTGGAAAAGCAAACTCAAAACTTGCCCCCTGAGGTGAAATAATAACAATACCAATGCCACCACCTTGCTTGCATGATGACCCATCAAAGAACAACGCCCAAGGTACCGGCTCTATGTAGCCAACACTTGGCTTATGATGCTGGGTGACAAAATCGGCTATTACTTGCCCTTTGACTAGTTTAGCCGATTCGTATCTCAAGTCAAATTCCGACAACGCAAGAATCTACTTCCCCATTCTTCCATTTAATATTGGCATTGATAGCATGGGCTTGATCACATCAGCTTTGGAAATAATTGTACACTCAGCCGGTAACAAGTAATGTCGCAACTTAGTGCAAAAGAAATATAAGCACAAGCATAACTTTTTGATGGGAGAATATCTTGTTTCTAGATCCAAAAGTCTTCTACTTAGATAAAAAACAACTCATTCTTTTCCTTCAAAGTCTTGCATCAAGGCTGATCCAATTGTTTGGTCATCGGCCGATATGTACAACTTAAAAGGCTTACCTTGCTGAGGAGGGACCAACATAGGTGGACATTTCATATATTCTCACTACACCACAACACCGCTTCACCGTCAGACATCTGACGCTAAAAATTATATTTGGCGATGGATGATCTGACGCTAAAGATAACTCAGAGACCATCTGACGCTAAATCCTCATTTAGCGATTTGTTGTCTGTCGCTATAGATGTTCATGTTTAGCGTTAGCCCGTCTGTCGCTAAAACCAGATATAGCGTTGATTTGTCTGACGCTAAAAAAATGGGCCCCACCTAGCTCGAGCGCGCCACTTACATTGAGCTCCCACACCCAGCTTACATCGACCTCGCGGGCATATTTTAGCCAGCCCCTGTGTACAGTGAAAACCCTAAATCCACCGCCAGCCTCCCTCTCCCTCTCTTCCCCACGCACGCCGCCCTCTCCCTCTTCCCTCTTCCCCCACGCACGCCGCCCTCTCCCTCTCTTCTTCTCTTCCCCCACGCATGCCGCCCTCCTCTCCTAAGGCCGGATCCACGCCGGGGTGACCTCCCTTCAACTTCCTCGGCCAGATCACGCAGTGGGGGCTGCCCTTCTCTCTCCCCGACTGGATCCGCGGCGTGCCCTTCTCTCTCCCCTTCCATGCTCACGCCAGCCGCCGCACAGCTAGGAGACCGACGCGACGACGGCCCGAGCAAGCGACGGTAGGAGATGGTGACGCCACCGCGACACCCCCTCGTCGGCGCACGCGCGCAGCCGAAGCTGCACGCAGCACCGTCGAGCGGCACCGCCCACTCTCTGGCTCTCCCCCGCCAGGTCGCTCCCACTTCGGAGATTCGGCGAGGGGCTCCACCGCCAGCTTCACTTCCCCCCAGATCAGTTGCGGTAGGGTCTAGTGGATGCAGTGGGTTCTCCGGCGTTGGTGTGGTGGGTGACGCCGACCTCTCCTCCTCACTAGTCTGGACCAACGTCTGCTCCTGCATCCAGCACTCTTCGTCGCCGGCGCTCGCCTCCAGGATCCGCGGCCCTGGCACTCGTCTTCAAGATCCGCGGCGCTTGCGCGGTGGGCGGCGCTCCTCTACTCTGCAGTCTGCACTGGGGAGCCGGTGTCAGTGCAGGTACGCTTGTGTTCGACTTCATTTTCGTCTCCGGTCGAGTGCAATTTTGGTTTGAATCTGCGATGGTGATGATGATGCGGTCTGTCTGGAGTACTAGCTAGCATGAATTGTGCGAGAAGGATGCTTGCATTTTAGAAAGATATATGCTGCAGAACTCTGTTCCCGTTGTTTTAGATGGTTGCGCTGGTGCCTGGCCTATCTCTGAATAATTCTGATCAATTAAGTAAAATGCTACAACATTTGTACCGATAGAGTGTTTTGGGTATTTTACTCGTAAACACCAAGCTTCTGGGATTTAATAAACCCAGAAGTTTTGTTCAGATCCACCTATGTTTAAATAAATAGTGCCTGGGTTGCAAATGTCATTTGTCATTGCAAGCTTAATTCCTGAATGCCCAGTAGGTTTTTGTTATAAACTGCCCAGCTCTGATTCCCGTTATTTTTGCAGTAAAATGCCCAGCACATGTGAGATCAACTCCAAGCTTTCCAGCGTAGACTACAGGGTGGAGCAAGCCTGCATTTGTGTTGATGGGATGATCGCTGGTCAGCAGCAGCTGGCATGGCATGGATTATTTAATTGACTAACATTTCTACCTACTTGATTGATTCATATCTGTTTTTGCACCATGAATACAAATGACCATGTCATGCCTTTCACGCAAGCAGGACTAGTGGTGTGTGGCTGCCATGTCTGTTTTAACAATTGAATACATCTATTTTGACTCTTAGTAAGATGAGAAATGAGAATATGGTTTAGAGATTTTCTGTAGCCTTGTGGATAACTGACGATGGACCATGTAGTATATATTCCAGTTCTAACAATTGAGTTCATGGTGCAGATTATTGTTGCATCTATTTAAGTTCATTGCCAACAGTTATTTTCTTTTCTGTTGTTTTGTTCATTTGCAGGTTGCAGGTCAGATTATTTTCAAGGTGCAGATTATTCTACTACTTGCTGAAAATCAGCTGAAAGAGATTGAGTTAGATGATAGGTGATGTAAATTGAATCTGCTTTACCTCAACAACTGGTTATTAGGATTTGTTGCATGGCTTATTTGTGAAACGTAATCAGCTTTGTTTGGGTTGTAATCTGCATTATTTGGGCTGCAATCTGTTTATTTGGGCTGCAATGTGTGCGTTGTATTATGTGGTGTTCGAGTTGCGTGGCGCCGTGGTTTGTTATGTTGCTGGGCCAAAAAAGATTCTGTGGGCTAACACAAAAATGGGATAAAAAATTCTGCTACTGCTGTTTTTCTTTTCACTTATCCATTTTTAAGTTTTTGGGTAGGTCTTGTAGTGAACTAATGATTCATAGCTAATGTTTGTTTCAATCCACATCAGAAATTAACAGGTGGTGTAATGCTTTCAAGGAACAATGAATTTATAGTCTTCTACAGAGGGAAGGATTTCCTGTCCTCAGAACTTGCAGAGGTGCTCTTGTTGGTGGCCAGATCCATTGAGCTTCAGAGACATCAGGTACTGTTTTGATTTTGTGGTGGTTTACTCAAAGTTCAGCGCACATATGTTGGGTGTTCCAAAACAAGGGAACAGATTATCCCATGTTCTGTTTTAATCATGGTCATTAATCAGGTCCAGATGGAAGACGTGAAGGACCAAGGAGACGAGGAGCTGTACGCCAAACTGGATGCCGCGTATTCGAGCGACGAGGAAGACATGGAGGTGAGCACGATGAACTATCAGGGCCACAATAAAAAAATATTATATGTAGAGTCATATTGAGTTTTGGAATTTTTTTTCCCCGCTGTGTTACCATGGTAGTGCACTAGTTTGGGTGGTTTTGATCTTTAAGGAACATATTGAAATAGGAAGAGGAGAAGCAGGACATGATTCCCATCTTTGAAAGATTATTATCTCAATGTGTCAGCCTTTGAAAACAACTGGCATGGAAGCTATGCAGTGGCAGATCTATGTATAACCTGTGGGGCCACCTGGCCCCACATGTTATGCCAAAATACATTTAACCTCCTTCATAAAACCTGCAATTTATATATATGTTAATTGTGTAATTCTTGCATTAATTGACTTAAAATCAACTAACTTGGGCCCACTGTTTTTGAATTCTGGATCTGCCACTGCTATCATTTGATCATGTAAAACATGGAAATTAGTCTGAATCAATATTCTCTTTCTTAAGTTGGTGTGTGACATCTGTAGTAAATAGAATTATTATATTTAATATTTTTTCTAATGAAGCCCATAAAGAAAACAGAGCTAAAGATAAACATACTCTGCTTATAATGATTTTGGCAATACTAGAGGAAAATACCCATCACCTTCTTGTGTTAGAGGCACTATTTTGGCTTTTCTAACCTGTTATTCATGTTGTATGCTCTTTTTTATGCAAATATTTTTCACACTGACAAACAAATGGAATACAGTGGGGAAGATTTCACGGCGAGTCTCCTTAGTTCATTATCCTAAACCTGAGGAATTGGCTAAACCAAGTTTTGGGAGTCTTACTCCTAGCAGTAAGAAATCTGCAGGTAATTCTTTATTAACATATGTTTTCTTCGCTGATCGCACTTTTCTACTGCTAGCCAAGTTAGGCAGGATATTGCATTGCAGATTACTGGTTGAACTTGGGGTATTTCATGGCTGGCAGTTTAATCTTGTTACCGCTTGGTTTTCTGTTGAAGTTCTTATTATCATAACTGATCAACAAAGGAAAAAGACAAGTCTGGTCCAACTGTATTATCATCTCTGTTGGAAACCGTTAGGCATACTACCTTCTTGATTTATGTTTTCAGTGCTAGTTAGAAAAAAACTGCTCTTTTATCCTTAGAAAAGTAGATACACTATAAGATTATGGTACATGTATAATTTTTGTTGTGTACACCATCACTGCCAACTCATCTTTCCGCTTTTCCTCGATCTGTATGGTGTTTCAGGAGCTGGAGAAACGGAGAGAAGAACTTGAGGCCTTGTTACTTGCTGAGCGGTCCGAGTTGGTCTGAAGGCTGACCACAGTGATCTAACAAGTTCTCTTCCAGTGTAGATAAATGTTTTTTTTCCTGACGATAGCATACTGCTTGGTCCGGGCCATGAGTCATTCATCAGAAGTCACTTTGTTGTAGTGTATCTTCTTTAGTTCCTCTGTGAATGTTTGGACTCGTTATAAATGAATCTATTTGTATGAGAAATGTGCACATGAATCTATTTGTATGAGAAATGTGCAAAAATGATGTTACTTTTGTATTAATTTGCAACCAAATGGCCTTTTATTTTTTTTAAATGCATTTAAATGATCTCGTCAAACCATCTGTCGCTAAAAATATTTGTAACTTCAAATTGTCTGTCGCTATAGAGTACTGGCAGGCTATCTATCGCTAAAGAGTAGTAGCAGACTATCTGTCGCTAAAAAAATTCAGAGCAACGGACTGTCTGACGCTAAAAGTCCTATCTGACGCTAAAGATATTTAGCGACAGGACTTACAGCGTTTGCAGAAGTCTGTCGCTATAACTTTTTAGCGTCAGACTGTCTGTCGCTGTAGCCGCTTTTAGCGTCAGATCGTCCATCGCTAATTTTGGTGTTGTGGTGTAGTGTCTTTTATTTCCTCAAACGCCTTTTGTTGTACATCATCCCACTTAAATTCTTGATCATTTTTTTCAACTTCAACAAAAAAGAAAATGGCAGAACTCTTTCCGACAAATTTGAAATAAACCTCCTGATAAAATTAATCTTACCAAGCAAAGATTGTAACTCTGTTTTAGTAGTCGCGGGCTCTGCTTCATCAATTGCTTTCATACTTTTTGACCAATTTTGATTCCTCTCTCGTGGACCATGAAGCCCAAAATTTGTCCAGCTGATACCACAAAGGCACACTTATTAGGATTCATCTTTAGACCATGTTTTTTGTACACTCCAAAGTCTCCCACAAATCAGCTAGATGTTCCTTGTACCCATTGGATTTTATCATCACATCGTCAATGTAGATTTTAACAATCCTGCCGATCAACTTATGAGAAGTTGCACCGGCATTCTTCAAACCAAAGGTCATCATGACCCATTCAAATAAACCGATTATGCCAGGGCATCTGAAAGCTATTTTTGCTATGTCTTTCTCAGCCATAAAAATTTGGTTATATCCTGCATTGCCGTCCATGAAACTAATAACCTTGTGCCCGACTGCTGCATCCACCGACATATCAGCTATTGGCATCGGATAACCATCCATGGGTGTAGCTTTGTTTAGATCTCTGAAATCGATGCAAACTCTTAACTTCCTATTTTTCTTATACACAGGAACAACATTCAATATCCATTCTGTATATCAGCATGGTCGAATAAATTTCGCTTCTAGCAACCTCTCAGTCTCCTTTTTGATATCATCAAGAACGTTTGGGTTGAATCTCCTCGGAGCTTGTTTAAACGACCGATATCCAGGTTTGATTGGCTACCGATGTTCAACAATCGATCGGTCTAGACCAGGCATCTCATAGTATTTCCAAGCAAAACAATCTTTAATTTCCTTTAATAAATCCACTAACTCTTGCTTATACTCAGGATCCAACTTGGCAGTTACATACGTCAGCCTAGGCCTATCTCTAGAAAAAAATATCTATTTCTTCTAATTCATCGGCCGACATAAAGCCATGTCCTAGTTTACCATCTGTACCATCTATTGGATTATCCATTAAAACAAATTCTCAAAGCCGACTACTTCGATCGGCTGTTGGCTTTCATCATTGACTTTAATGAAGCTTCCTTCCCATAGCTTGTTAGAAAAACACTCGAAGTCTTCTAGCTCCCAATATACTAGATCGACTGTTGCGATACTCACAGATTCATCAGCGTGAACCAGCTCGACATTATCTCCATGCCATTAAATCAAACTCTGATGCATGGTTGATGGCACACAACAGTTTGCATGAATCCAATCATGACCAAGGAGTAAACTGTATGACCTTTTTCTATCAATGACTAAGAATGTAGTGAGCAAAGTTTTATTTTCGATTGTCAATTCAACGTTCATTGCCCCCTAGTCTTAGATGCATTACCTCTAAAATCCTTAAGCATCATATCGGTTTCAATCAAATCTTCTAGCCCCTTGCCAAGCTGGCGAAAAGTGGTATAAGGCATAAGATTGACAGAAGCACACCCATCCACCAACATCTTGTTCATCAGCTTCCCATCAACAAAACCTTTTACATATAAAGCCTTTAAGTGCCGATGCTTGACTGGTTTATCGAATATAACCTGCTGTATAACTGTCAACTTGGCAATAATCTCCTCATACTCTGATTCATCAAAATCTGAATAAACTTCTTGATCTGCTGGAGCTCTAAATTTTGATGGCAACAGGAAAGGCATTTGAATATTAGCCGATGGTTGCCCTCTATCAGCTGTTTGTTTAGCACGCCACACTTCAGGTCTACCAGATGCCTGAGCCTATTCTAGCTCTTTGTTCCTTAGGCATTGCACTCTTCTTTTCTGGCTTCTTGTTAGACCTCCTGGACACCATTGGCCTTCCTACCAAATATATTCTTCCTCATTACTTTCTTCTTCATAATCAGCCCAATTTTGATCAACTCATTTTCCAAGCCGATCATGAGCAATTCTATTTTTTAAGCGCCGATTCATATTATGATGATACTCATCTTGAGCATGGATAGACCGGCAGTTGGCTTGAGATTGCCTAAACTCCTAATATTGCTCGCTGCACTCCGAGCAGATATTTCTGGTAGGCAATTTCAAACCTTCGTTCCAGCGATGTCTGAAGAAAGGACAATTCCAATGTGATTCAACTTGCTTTTTTTAATACCTCTCTTTTTCCTGTTGACGCTGGTATTCTTGCTCTTCTAACCAACACTGATAATCCTTTTCCTTCTGCCACTGCCATTTTGTCGATAGAATATCGTCGGTAGTCCTCCGAGGGGTATCCCACGAAGGTTGATTGATCGATAGAGAGACATGTTATCAAGAACAAGAAGGCAACAGAGACACATGGGTTAGACAGGTTTAGGCCATCAGTATGACATAATACCCTACTCCTATGGTCTGTTGGATTGTATTGGCTATTGTATGATATTGCGTGAGTTTGGAGGGGGTTCTTGCCCGCCTTATATAGTCTGAGAGGCAAGGTTACAAGTCGGTTAGATCTAGAAGATAACTGGAAAGTAATAACAGATTACAGGAATCATGGTATCATACGTATCCTAACAGATCTCATAATATCTTTAGGATATCTTCCCAGCGTCAACCATCGTCGAGCAGCGCAACGGTCACCGAGCAGCGTAACCCAAGTATGGCTTGCCATAAGGGTGTAAGGAGCTCAAGTTCAAAATCAAAATTTTCCTCGTAGTAGACCAAATGTGCCCACTTAGAGTTTGACCATGAGAAAGGGAGATTGTATTCTTTAGCTTCAAGAGGCGCGGAGTCTTCCAGATTAAAGCAAACACACTCACCACAAGGGGAAGTGTGCCCACTTAGTCCCCGAGCCTGACAGTAGGTGACGTAGTCACATGGTGCCAGGGTCCAAAGTAGAAGAAAAGTAGAAGACCAACCGAGCAGGCAGCCAGTCCTCGGGTGTATCCCCAAAATGAGAAAAGCACATTCACCATTAGGTGAAGTGTGCCCACTTAGTCCTGGAGCCTGACAGTAGGTGACGTAGTCACGTGGTGCCAGGGTCAGAAACAGTAGTCAACAGAAGAAAGTCCCCAATGCGGTGAGGAACCGAGACATAGTGCTAACGCAGTCCCCGAGCCACAAGAGGAAATCTTGGAGAAATTAAATCATAGAGAAAATACCGGAGTAATGGTTGTACAGTAGTAATTACTGAGCCGTAACAATTGGCGGAGAAGTCGGCGAATATCCGGTGTACAGTAACAAATTGCGGTGAGAAGTGGGCGATACGGGACGCAGCTGCGCAAAAGCCCAGATAACGGCCCACCATGCTGTTGCAGAGAATTCGGAGA